CTTACTGCGTCTGGTCTAGAACAAGGTCACCAAAAGAGAGTGCTCAACAGGCTGTAAACTCTGAGAATGCATACTAGTGTGCATGTTGCCACTGTATTTAGTGGCCTTATGAACACTGGTTTAGCCACATACTCTTAAACACACCCGCCCCCCGCATAGACACATCTTCCTAAGATACGAAGTTACGAGCAACTCAGACCTTCACATCATCGATGCCAGTATTGTCTTCAGGTTGTGCCCAAATACCTCAGTGCTAATCTGAGCAACCTCATAGCCAGTTATTCAATCTATTGAAGCTCTGATACCAGAGAGTTCTCTCACTTCCTCCCTTTCTCCCCCTCCCCAAAACAAGGTTTCTGTGTGCCTAGTGCTGCTTCTTAGAATCTCCTGACAGCCATAGCTGTGACTGGATCAGAGGCTTGTAACCAAGATTATGACTAAAAATAATCTGTGGAATTTAAGAAACAGATTTCTCGTTCTACTTCTGCAAATGTATTTTTCAAGTCCGGATTGGGGCACATGATTCTGATTTCACAGAAGAGACAAAAGATTCTGATGGTCATCCCAGTTGAGAGGCACAGACTGAGACGAACTCTTCATTATCAATAATCATTTTAATTAGCTCTAAATATTGTAAGATGGAAAGGTTGACAGTGGAAATACTGAATTGGTGGGTCCAGTCTCTGCTTTGAGGGGGCTTTTCATAGAGTCGAGGAGACAATACATACAGCGAAAGTTTTATGAATGACACAGGAGTTGTGTCAGGAATTCAGAGGAGGGGAAATTAGTTGGCAATTAAGAAAAGGTTGCTCAAAACTTTGAAAGAGAGAGAGACACACACACACAGAGACAGAGACACAGAGAGATCTAAAGAGAAAGCAGATGAGAAAATCAGAGAGGCACTAAAATCAAAGAGAGACACTGAGTGGATAGAGACGGACGGATGGACAGACGGACGGACGGATGGATGAATGGATGGATGGAGATATATGCTTCGCTTAGCACTATTCCCTACAGAATTTTCTGGGTTCTGAGTTTTGCCTGTGCTCTAGCTGAGGCAAGGAGTCTCTATACAGAGGCAAAAGAATCCTGCACATGCACCTTGGATGTGTCCGAAGCCAAATCATCTTTAGAATGTGTCCGGCACACCTCGAGATCCCTCGGTGTATGTTTTGCCCTAAGTGCTTTCCCTTGTGTTCTGCAACTTTTCATTCAGAAGTGTTTTGCTCTCTTTTTCATTTACAACAGCTCACCCTCGCATCCGTCTTTTTGTCACCCATGGAGGGTTGAATAGCATAATGGAGGCCATCCAGCATGCTGTACCCATAGTGGGGCTCCCCATCTTTGGAGACCAGCCTGGAAATATGGTTCGAGTAGAAGCCAAAAAGTTCGGTGTCTCTATTCCTTTCAAGCAGATCAAAGCTGAGACATTGGCTCTGACGATGAAGCAAGTCATAGAAGACAAGAGGTATGCAGCTCTGGGCTTGTGGTCACAGAGGCTGAATGCAGACCTCAGACACAAAGAGCTGTGTATGGGTCTTTTCTGCCACAAAAGCTGCAACTTCCAGGATACAGGATCATATGTGTTTGATGCTAACAGCTGACCTCTTTCCTCTGAGAACAAGACCAGGCCATTTTAGTTAGATGTGAGAATATTTTTCTATCTTATGGGTTGTAAGGAACGTGAACTACTTACACAGGGTGTCTTTGGAGGTCTTATATTTTGGGGGTGCTTATGGTAGAATTCCTATTGAGGCAGGAGGTTGCCTCTCTGTACCCCAATATGCCACACTGTTCTCCACCTCAGGCCTTTTGTCTCATCTTCGTGATATTTGGGTCTCATCTCTAACGTCGCCTCCTCAGAAAGGCTGCCTTTGTCTGACAGCCCCAACTAGACTCCTTCCCCACCCACGCCAGTCTTCATCCGTGATTTCCTCTACGCACTACTCAGGATCTGTAATTACCCCATTTCTTTAGCACTTTTAATTTATCATCTGTCCCCCCACACTTGAAAGTAGAGACTAAACTTCCCGAGGACAGTAGTGAGTGTCTCTTCTTTGCCACTGTGATCCCAGGGCCTAGCAAAGGGCCTGCCACAAACTCAGTGTGAAGGAATTTCTGTTAAGTGAGTCATTAAAAAAATCCATTGACCTTATATAAATTCTGATCCAGCACAATGATATTACATGAAGAGAAAAAATATATATATATGTATTTATTATAACTAAAGAGTACTGAATAGCTTAGGGTTTCAAGGGTACATAAATCCAATCTCAAGACTCAACGCATTCCCTCGCACGTAGAAGCCCTGGAAGGAGTTCTTGTTAGATGCCTGGAAAACAACCAAGTAGCTTGTGATTCTCAACCTGAGAAAAGTTGTTAAGCTCCAGGGTGTTTGATAACCCGAAAGTTTTATACGTATTTGATATCTTATGTGTTGTCAATGTTTGGTTTCTGATAAATGAGGTGGGATCTTTCATTGGCTTTCCAAAGACCGAGACCCAAAGGCCATGATGCACTGACCCCTGTGAAGGAGTCGTTTGAGCTGGGCTGATCCGCGGACATTGTGCCTCAGGACCAGCTACATAATTTGTGGAGCCCGATGGAAAGTGGATGTGCAGGGTTCTTTATTCTTAAGCTGAAAGATTTCAAGATGGTGACAGCAGAGAATTAAATCAAGCACAGGACCTGTCTCAGTGAGGGGTCCCGTACAGGTATGCAGCCACAGCCCATGAAGCCAGTACTGGTCAATGCTGTGCTGTGAAGGGGCTGCAGATTGCAGGTGTTATCCTGGGCTGCAGTCCCCAGAGCCATATTTGTCACCTAGCCCCGACACTAGCACAAAGTAGGTACTCAGTATACATATATGATGATTACATCGCGCACAATTTTCCTGTTGTCTATCATAAGCCTCCTTGGGGTAGAGACTAGTCCTTATGAACTCAGTCACTTAATTTTAAGTGTGGCATTTTTAGCACTAAGTGTGGTTCCGTGCATATAGGTATGAGTTTGAACTTTTCAGAGGGTCCCAGCTAGACGGTGGCAAGGCCAGGCCAACAACTTCTCCTTGAAACGCAGTCTTTTGTGCATGTGGTGAAAGGAGCGTGAGACAGGTCTCGAAGACTTCTGAGACCGCATGAGTAACACCCGCCTGTGTCTCTGCCAACAGGTACAAGTCGGCAGCAGTGGCCGCCAGCATCATCATGCGCTCCCACCCCCTGACCCCCACCCAGAGGCTGGTGGGCTGGATCAACCATGTTCTACAGACAGGGGGAGCAGCGCACCTCAAGCCCCATGCCTTCCAGCAGTCCTGGTATGAGCAGTACCTACTGGATGTCTTCTTGTTCCTCCTGGTGGTCACCCTGGGCTCCCTGTGGCTTTGTGGGAAGCTGCTGGGCGTGGTGGCCAAGGTGCTGTATGGGGCCAGGAAGCAGAAGAAGGCCTGATGAACAGTGCAGCCATGGCTGGCAGGGTTTGTGTAGCCGCTGATTCTTTGAAGACTTCCCAGCACAGGCCATTTCTGGTGTCCCACCCAATCTCTACTTAACAGTGGCACACAAATTGCTCCTCACTATTTTCTGCCTCTACTTAGAAAGTCTTATGAAGAAATCTGGGGCTTCTGTTTAAAAGAAAATTATGGTGCAATACACATCACATGAAATTTACCATTTTAACCAGTAAGTATGCAGTTCAGTGGCATCAAATACATTTGTATATTCATGTAATCATCACTACCATCTGATTCCGGACCTTTTTTTCATCTTCCCAAACTAAATTCTGCACCGATTAAACAAGAATTCCTCATTCCCCTGCCCCTACTCTTAAGTCCCTGGCAACCCATGTTCTACTTTCTGTGGCTATGAATTTGATCTTGGCTCCTTGATTTGCCCCTCATCAGTGGACACCTCCATTCAGACACCGACTGTCACCAGGCAGCCCCATGTTCCTCCTCACCCCCAACCCCAGACACAACACTCTGCTTCCTTCTCCCTGTCCAGGAGACTTCTCAGTTTCCTGCCCCTTTCTCTTACACTTTCAATGGCTATGACATAAGATCTTTGGCCAGTTCTTCCATTCTAGGCCTACCTCTTGCATCTGTTTTTCATCTCACCTTGAAGCTCAGGAAGCCTGGCCTCTGTCCTGCAGTGAAACAGGGACAGCCCCTCCCAGGACCCCACCTTTGGTCCCTGCCTCGAGTCCCCTCCTGCAGAGAGCATCTCCTTTGCTGGTCAGGCCTGGGGCTGCCTCAGCCCACAGCTGGTGCTGTGTTTCCCATTTTTTAGTTCCCTTCTGAAGATCCCATTCTTATAAATGTGGTTACAGAAATCTCAGTGGAGACCTGGAACCTACATGTAAGGTTTTGGGTCCAGAGGTCCAGTGGCCACGGTGGTGTCCAAGATTTTCTTGATGTAGAAGAGAACATTCCAATATGTGACAAATCCATAGGGAGTACATTCAGTTCCTAGTAAGAGAAAGGAGAAAAATCATACCCTAAACACACTAGAGTTTTTGATGTGTTTTTTCTTTTTTTTCAAAAGAGGCTGTAGTGCATTGTGGGGAATGTAGTCAATGGTATTGTAATGGTTTTGTGCAGTGCTAGGTGGGTGCTGGAGTAATCAGAGGGATCACTATGTGGATTATATAGATGTCTGGTCACTATGCTGGATACCTAAAACTAATATATATAAAAAAAAAGCCTGAAGACAAGCCGTTGAGGGCTAGTGTGGTAGCTCATCTTGCCATCTTTTGTCTCTCCCCTGTTTTTTAATTTTTTCTGCCTTTTTAATCTTCTTTTTTAAACTTCTCGCCAAGCTACCTCTCTGGTATGTTGCTTTCATGAAATATTTTGCCTTCAGTTATTTTGCCCTCATATTTGCTTTTGCATTCTCAGACGGAAGGAGTTCTTCCTAAAAAGTTTCAAATGTGTGGTATCTAGTGGATTAAAATATAGCAAAGAAACATTATAAATATGGATGGCCCTGGAAACCATGTGTTGGATTGCTTAACCCTGAGGTTGTGAAACATATCGTAAAATAATTCAAATGAAAAAAATGAAGCATGTAATACAAATATTTCCTTCAGAAATAGGAAAGGCCCACCCTTGCCAATGTCGGGATGGGATTTGCCTGGTTGTATGCAAAGCTGGATGCTTGGTATCTACCCAGTTATGTGAATTCTCACGCTGTAAGGATGTCACATGTGGTCAGGAGCATGTCACATGCAGAAGTGTGTGTGTGTGTGTGTGTGTGTGTGTGTGTGTGTGAAATAAGGTTTTATTTTTGCAATTCTTATGAAGTCCCTTAAACTTGTCTCTGGCAATAGTTCCTTGAGGGACAGACGTGTGTTGTCATTGCAGAGAATAGCTAGGATTTCATTCCCCTCATAAGTAACACAGGGACCTGAGGATACAGTTCCTTGGCTGATAACTCTTTCTCTCCCACTCCCACTTCATCATCCTCCCTGAATATCTGGTAACACAGTGAGGCCAACTCCATGCTTGGTGCTTCCTAGGCTCCACCCCCATATATAAAATCTGACCAGTCATATTCAGTGAGTCAGAATGATGCCTCCAGTCTTCTGCCCTCCAAGCATCCTACACAAGGTGGGCTGCCAGTATGGCTTTGATGACATGGAAACCTGATCTCATCATTCTCTGATGAAAATCCTTTGGTGGCTCCCATTGTGTGGAATACAAGGCCTCTGTGATTTTTTCTGGCTACTTCTCCAGGCACACCTTAAAAATTCTGAAATAAACCCACACAAATATGGTCAGTTGATTTTCAACAAAGGTGCAAAAACAATTCAATGGGAAAAGTAAAAACTTTTCAGTAAATTGTACTGGAACAATTTTATATCTGAATGAGATTTGACCTTTATATAATAATATACACACAAAAATACATTGCTTGCTCTTCATACCATATACAAAAATTAACCCAAAGTGTATCATAGACCTAAATATAAATGCCGAAACTATAAAAGTTCTAAAAGTCCCTGTAATCTTATGGTAGGCAAAGATTTATTATCCAAAACTTGAAAGCTCAAATCATAAAGACATTTGATAAATTGGACTTTCATCAAAATGTAAAACTTTTACTCTTCTAAAGAAACCAGTAAGAAAAGAAAACAAAAGTGTAAGCCACAAACTGGAAGAAAATATTTCAGACAAAGAACTTGTATCTAAAATATCTAAATAAATCTTACAGTCCAGTATAAAAAAAGACAAAGGGTTTGAACAAATGCTTCACAAAAGAAGATATATGAATGGCCAATACTCATGTGAAAAGTTACTCAACACATTAGTTATCAGAGAAATGCAAAGTAAAACCACAGTTAGTTACCATAACACATGTACTGGAATGGCTAAAATTAAAAAGATGGACAATACCAACATTTGTCAAGGAGACAGAGCTATCGGAATTCATACAGTCCATGCTGATGGAAACATAAAATGGTGCATCCACTTAGTTCAATTGCTCTGCAGTTGCCCAAATAGTTAAGCATACACTTGTCCAAATGGCATAGCCATTGCACATATAGGCACTTACTTGAGTTAAATGAAAACCTGTCCACCCGAAAACCTGTACACAAATTCGTAATAGCCCCAGACTGAGAAAAAACTAAATGCCTATCAGTAGATGAATGGATAAACGAGTTGTGGTTTATCCGTAAAATAGACTATTGATTAGCAATAAAAAGGAGCATACTACTGATACACACAACTATATCAATGAATCTCAAAATGATCATGCTGGGAAATAGAAGCCCAACTCAAAGAACTGCATCCTGGGTGATTCCACTTATATACAACTTGAGAAAATATAAACTAATCTATAGTGACAAAAAGCAGATTAATGGTTACATGGGGCTGTGTGACTTGGTAGAATGAAATACAAATTGGGTAATGAGATATTTTGTATCTTGATGTCAGTGGGGATTTTGTAGGTCTATTCATCTATCAAAACGAAGTGGTTGCAGTTTGTCATATACAAATTAGTCCTTAAAATAGATTTGAAAATCCCTATGGGTGAAATATGTTCTTAAATATCTTTCTATTTGGGCAATTTAAAGTTCAGTATTCATAAATTATTGTTGCATTTGAATATAATTGAAAATGTGAATATGTTATAATAATTTACTAGAGCCAGTACAGTTTTGAAGAGGGAGGAAATACGTGTGAACAAGAGGTAGAGCCGTTTCCTGGGGAACCAAGACTAATGGTGAACAGCCTAAGATTAAGGATCAAGTTCACATACTCAGATCTAATCCATGTTTATTTTGTGAGGGACACCTGGGGTCTTTCCATATTTATAACATAATTACATTTTTGAGAAATTTATAAACTGGTAAAACATTTCATTTGTTAAGCTTTAATGGGCATGAAACATGACATACACTAAAGTTTACATATAAAATACATATATTTGGAGGTACATTTTAAGATTCTGAAATGAAGTTCAGTATGTAATTTATGTTTCCCTTCATTATATAGTTATTCTTCTACTTATCTATTTCTACATTACCACCAGACATGATCACATATTGATTCTTTGTGTGTCTATCTACACTAAATGCTCTGTGTTTGTGATTTTTTTCCCATGTTGATCTTCTGTTGTTTTATTTATCACATCCTAAATTGTAGGCTATTGCAAGACGGTTATTTATTTAAACCTCAAGCAATTATCCATGTAAAAGGAAGTAAATGGAATACTTGTAGTTTATACAAATCTAGTACAAGGAACTATCTATTTTTTAAAAACAGATTTTTCATTTTAAATGTCCTTAATATAAATACATTTTACCCAGTTTAATAATTTGATTTAACCAATATTGACAGATTTCATGTTTGTTTAAGGTATTGTATTGGGCACTTTGGAAGATGCAAAAATGAACCAGACTCTCTCTTGGTCCTCTAAGAGCTCTCAGTGGCTTCTCATTGTCTTCCTGACTGATTAAAAGGTAGGCTTATCTGTCATTAGTGATGCATCTTGTCTCAGTGATTGCTTCTTAACAGCTTATTAGTATAGCTTAGTAATTTCACTTAGTGAAAGCGAAATAAACAGTTTATCACGAGGTCAGCTGCAACAAGGAGGGGCGTTTTGGGATGATGTCAGCACCCGTTACGGCTTGGTAAGTGTCATGCACCTTCTGGAAACAGCATTTAACCCCAAAAGAGAGATGAAGGATATATTTTTGAACAAGCGGCTTTTTCTGGCCCCTTAAGTCACGCCTTGCTGGAAATCAAGTTTTCATTAAAATCTACAGACCATATCACTCCCTTGACCTCCAGGGCAAGTCTGAGAAATTGATAAGGCAGATACAATGTCTACTGGAGAGACTGCAGAAATTGACGACCACTTGCCTGAGAATACCTATCACGTAAAATGCAGAACAGAAAGTGGAACTCAGGTCTTCGTAGTTCTTCTAGTCTTTGGTTCTTTGCATC